GCTCTCTTTATCTCTGCGTACCACCACCCCCGCCCGCCCCAGTCTCTCTCATCCCAGTCTTCGTTCACGGCCTGCCTCACCCCGTGTCCTGGTCTCAGACAGTCTCTGACTCCATGTCTGCCCTCAGCCTCTGCTCAGCCCTCCCGCCCCCCTCCTGGCTGCCTCCCAAGGCCCCAGTGCCCCTACCCTCCCTGCTCAGACCAGTCTGCCAGTCAGTGCGGGCCCCTGGAGTGAGGGACTGGAAGAGCAGGCCGAGGGCAGACTGCGGCCCCTGTTCCATGAAGGAAAACGATTTGAAGCCAGGGAGGCCCGGGCAGGCTGAGGCCAAGAATTTCTCACTTACCCGCAGGGCTGGATATTTAGTCTGAGTTGGGGAGGGCAGGTGGCAACCGGCCTGGAGCTCCCCGGGGGCCTGCAAGTGCAGCTTGGCTGCAGCCCCTCCCCAGCTTGGGATCCCCTTTAGGGTGACATCTCCCTCTGCCTCCTGGCCCAGACCACCACCCCCCCGACTCCTGCAGCAGTGAGAGGTGGCCCAGACAGGTGCCGGGGTCACTGTCCCCCACCCAGGACACAGAGCCAGGTGAGGGGCAGGCAGGACCGGATGGGGTGGGCTTGGTATCCCTCAGTGCTCTCCCAAGATCTGGGATCAACACGTCCCTCTCAACCCCGGCAGGGCCTCAGACAGTCTCCAAAGGCCAATGTGCTTTTCCTTTGGCTTGTGTGCCGTCTAAATACTTTATCCAATTGCTATGGCTCCACCTCCAGCTGCCTTATTTTCCTGTACGGGGCCGTCCACAGCCCTCTGAGCTCTCAGGCAGGACCTTGGGACCACTGGGGGCACATTCCAGAGACTGCTCGCGAGCTCCCACCCTGACGTTAAAAACTCACATACTGGCTGAGAATGCTACGCGGTTTGGTGGGAGCTGGAGGGACATGTTGAAAACTATTCCCAAATAAGCTGCTGTCACTCCCAGGAGACCAGGATGGTTAGAGGGCAATTTCACAAACACTCCTACAGGACGTGAATGAGGGTGCTGTCAGAATACAGCTGGGGCCCGTCCCGGGGCCCGTCCCCCCCCAACCCCCACTGCCGGCACTCTCCAAGCCTCTGCTCAGGGCACTGAGCGACTTCACTTTCCCTTTATTTTTCAGGGGTGCCCTGTCATTCCTGGGCCAGCGCTGAGGGGCATTGCCATGGTGCCATATCAGGAGGCACAGTCCCCGGAGGCCTGGCATTTAGTGAGATGGCTGAGCCCTTTCTTCTGGAACCCTTTGAACTGGGTGCTTATTTTGTGCCCACGCTGCACTAGGCAGTGGGTAGGAGAGGTGAGCAAACCAGACAGAGTGCCTCGGCTCAGGGAGGAACCAGACGGGCGGAGAGGCCCGAGGTGGTGGGCACGAAGGGCCTGGGGTGGGTCACCGCAGTGGTCTCTGGCTTCAGTTGCTGCACCCACGACATGGGGGCAACATGGAGCTGTTTTGAGGCGTCACTGAGATCATCAGTACATGGTGACTGGTTGCGATGACAAACCACGAGCAAGGAGCAGGCAGCTAGAGGGGTTAGCAGTGGCAGATGGGGCGGGAGCCCAGCGTGTGCTGCCGGTGCCCTGCCCGCGTGTCCTCGGGGCCCCGCGTCACTCCAGGACCCCCGTCAGCACCTGCCTGTCCCCGGCTGCTGGAGCCTGTCCCCGGCTGCCTGCGTGGAGGCCAGCCAAGTGCCTTCCCGCAGTCTCTATGCGCCATGTGCTAAGTTTTCCAGTCGTGTCTGACTCTTTGCAACCCCATAGCCAGTAGCCCACCAGGTTCCTCTGTCCATGGCATTCTCCAGGCAAGAACACTGGAGTGAGTTGCCATGTCCCCCTCTAGGGGACCTTCCAGACTCAAGGATCGAACCCGTGTCTCTTACGTCTACTGCTTTGGCAGGAGGGTTCTTTACCACCTGGGAAGCCCCTCAGTCCCTGTGGGCAGCCCCTAACCCCCAGCTGTGGTGAGGGCTACAAACACCTCCGTCTCCCAAGCTCCCAGCACTCTGGGCCACTCCCTTCCCACCTCCTGTGGCCTCTTGCTTGACCTCCCATCCCCACTGGCTCGGCCTCTCTTCTCAATCTCCCTCCCCCACTCCTGGGAAGATCGTGAAGAATTCCACTTTCACATAAATCCTTGTTGCGGGGCCTACATCTGGGGAAGCAGGGTGAAGTAAACACCCAAGTGCCAAGTAAACATTAGGAGGTGTCCCCTGCACTGTGGGAGCCAGTCTTCCTGCAGAGCCTCCCTCTGGCCCAAGGGGGTCCTCCGGAGTTCCTAAGGATCAGTCCCAGTAGCCTTCTGACTCTGCGGAGATCTCTGCTCCCTCAATTTGAGCTCGGCAAAGGCCAGGGCCATGGGAAGTGTGCCTGTAGCTCTTAGCCCTCAGTTCAGGAAACCGTCTGAGCTGCCAACTTCAGGAGTATCTGTGTCCATCCCCAGGGGCCTGCACAGGGTGCCAAAAGATGGCTAAAATTCATATTTGATTATTGTCACCTTTCTCTCCTGGTAACTCCAAATGGGTAAGCTGAAGTTAGATCTTGTTTGTTTTTTTAATGTTTAATTTTTTTTTAATTTATTTGGGTGAACCAGGTCTTAGCTGAGGCCCACGGGATCGTCTGTCTTCATTGTGGCATACAGGATCTTTAGTTGTGGCATGTGGGATCTAGTTCAACAGCTGAAACCCAGGGATGGAACCCAGGCCCCCTTGCCTGGGGAGCACTGAACCTTAGCCACTAGACCACCAGGGAAGTCCTGCTGAAGTTAAATATCTTTATTGTCCCTCTGCTAACATCCCATCAGAGGAGAAACGGCAGACCTACATGCAGTGCTGGCAGGGGCGGATCCAGATGCTGGTCTGGATTATTTTTCTGGACGTTGTGATGTTTGTGGTATTTGCTAGCTTCTTAACACTTTGTGACTTGTGATTTTTTTTTTCTTATATGACTTGTAATTGTTTTTTCTTAGTCTCAGTAAATATTCTACCTAATTTTTTATTGTTTTTCTTAAAGCAGACTCCTCAAATTTTACAAGCTGCAGACAACAGAAAATCTCAACGCGCTCTGACCATCTGTCGTGTGGAAGAATGCCTGCCAGACAGGCTCCTGGCCCCATCCATCTCAACCCTTGTTCCTCCATCTGCAGACTTCTGAGGCAGGATGTGATAAGGTTCTGCCTCTGCACCTGTCACTGTGTCAGGTGAGTCCTCACAGTGTGTGATGGGAATATTCTAGAAAAGCCATTTCTTTCTTCTATTTGGTCACACTGAGCGGCATACGGTATCTTAGTTCCTTGACCAGGGATCAAATTTGCGCCACCTAGAGAGTCTTAAACACCGGCCTGCAGGACAAGTTTCCCAAGAAAGCCATTTCTAACCAAACTGGCTAGCAATAAATACATTACGTGACATAAATGCATTACACATGACCCAAATGGATATTTTCACAACATAACCAATGAGTATATGAAAGTGAACCCAACTGGATATATCCCCAACTCAAATTCCCTTAGTCACACCTCCAAATGCCACAGCCACATTCCCTCACCTGATGTGAAGGGAGGTGTGACAGATGAGAAACTGGGGTGGAGACAATGATCTAAACCTACTACAGTATAAAAACCTTACTTTCCAAGTGTTATAAAATTTATGACCTTGAAAAATTACATAATCTTGGAAGGGACTCATACAAGTTAGAGGCCCTAAGTATAAGCCTCATTAGCTTCTCAGGACATCTGGCCTTGGTGGCCAGACTCTTGTAACATTATAAGATCTGTGGGTTTCAGCCCCACCCCATGTGTGTGTGTGTGTGTGTGTGTGTGTGTGTGTAAGGAGCGTGGCTCGCTGTTGTGTGTGTGTGTGTGTGTGTGTGTGTGTAAGGAGCGTGGCTCGCTGTTGTTCTGGGCTCTCCTATCTTTGCTGCCTCTCAACCCCCAAATCCTCCAGGCAAAGTTGAGGCCTGTGGTCAAGGCTCACAGTGAATTTGACCCCTGAGTTTGGACATCATAGCAGGAGACATCAATATTAGTAAGTCCACTTAAACCTCTTTTTGCATTTTCTTCATTTACCTCAGTTTTTTAAGTTAATCTTTACTGGAGTACAGTTGTTTTACAGTGCTGTGTTAGTTTCTGTTGAACAGCAAAATGAATCAGCTATACACCTCCTTCATTTTTTAAACCAAAAGCTGCTTCTGAAAAATATTCCACGCTTGTTTTTGCTGACTAGAAAGACCAAGGGACTTAACCATCCTGAGGCTAGGCCCCAAGAGGACTGCCACCCTTCTCATCCCACTCAGCGTCCCTGTCTTTCAAACCCGCCCGTGTCAGCGAATGTGAAGATTCATGAAAATTCGTGAAAAGCACTAGCACAGCCTGACACATATTAAGTGAGGTGTCAACATCATCATTATTATTAACAATGGTAAAACAGATATCCACAGCTATCTTTGGTTTTACTGTAGATTTGAATTTGGAAGATTCGGGTTCAAATTCTGACCCTGCCACTTCTACTCTGGATAAACTGCTCAATCTCTCTTAACTTGAAAAGACAGACTCTAACAAACACACGGTGCACCCCACAGAGGGAGCGTGAACCTCAAGTGAGATAAAGGCTGTGAACACTATTTTGTGAATCACAGAAGCTGCTACGAATGCTGGCACTGCCATTCCTGCCTTCCAGCCTCTCTCTCTCGGGGGGGCTTTGACGCTGGTTGAACCCCCTGCCTGCACCACGCCTGCCCCTCGGGATGACCTCATCCCTGCCACTGACCTAGCAGGGTGAGCTGAGCACGGTCAGCCCCCACTTACCACGGTTGCAGAGCCGCTGTCCTCGGGCCTCCAGCCTGGTCAGGTGTGCCTCCTCAGACAGCTCAGCAGCTGGGAGAGGCCTGAGGCCTGTCATATGCAAAACGGAGGCCTACCAGGGCGAGCTGGATTTCAGTGAGGCCCTGAACTCTCCCATCAAGCGATGGGCCTGGCACCTACCCCGGAGCTTTGGAGTTTAATGGGATTCCTGGTCCTCGGGCCGTGGCCAGCTCCTGCTCCGTAGCTCCTCTTCCACTCCCCACTAGGGTCCAGGAGCCCAGGCAACTCCCGGAAGAAACTCCTGCAGCTGGTTTGGGTCTGGAGGTGGAAGAGTGCCACCTGCCCTGCAGGCAGAGGTGGAGAGTGAAGTTTCCAGGGGCAGCCGAAGCCTGAGAAGGCCCAGAACTGGGGGAAGCGGAGCACTGGCTGGAGAAGACCTGCCAGATGGGCTCTCTGTGGCCCCAGAAGTCAGAGGCCCGCACACTGTCTCTGGTTTGAAGGCTGAACAGAACACTCTGCATTTGACTGTCCTGCCCCCAAACTCCACTTTCATCGACCTTGTGTGATGTAAGGCATCAGGGCCCGCTTGACACCTTAGACTCACCACTGGACATGTACCCTTGGTGAGTCGTTTTTCTGTGCCTCAGTTTCCTCATCTCTAAAATGGGAATGGTAATTGGTTTTTACCTTATAGACCGAGGTGAAGATTAAATGAGTTAATACAGGCAGTGCTTAGGCATAGCAGGCAGGGCTAGGCATAGCGTTAGATGCTGGCTATTATTATTTTTTTTTTATAAGTTTTGAGATTACTCTGCTAGATGCTCCAGCATTTTCTCTTGGGATGTTTCTGTCACTTAAAATGGATTGGGATTTCAGGGCAAGTACCAGAGAAACTGAAATCCCTTCTAGTGAGATTCTGAGGCTGCTGGGACTGGCTGCTAGTACTGGCTCATTTCTCCTTGTCTGCCACCTCCAGTCCTAGGCAGCTGGTTCCACTGCTCTGGTTCCCGGGCTGTCATCCACAGCTGCTAGCCGGAGAAGAGTTTAATACCTCGTTAGCACCTCCCCACAGCTCGCTGTGGGCACTAATCACTTGTTCCTTCTGGAGTGACTCTGAGCTACCTTTGAAAACTGTCCATGTGATGCCCGGAGACTTCCCCAGCTGGTCCTAATTCCTGCCCTGGGTTGCTCCATCTACCCTGAGAGGAAGACAGCTAACTGGTTAGATTTTGGTGATACATAGGCACATTAAAAACAAAAAACTCAGACTCTTCTGCGGCACCTGAAGCAAAACCTTCCAGCAGCTTTCCCCAGAGCTCTCCTGTCTTCTCCCATGCCCCACACCTGCAGACCTGCCCCCTCGGCCCTGCCACCCGCGGTTTGGTACAGAAATGGCGAGAAGGCAAGGGCCCAAATCTGAAGCAGATGTTTGGGTCGAGGAGCAAGGCTGGGGTGGAGACAATAGGAAGGATGTGGACCCTGCTAGAACTGCTTGCTGCCCTGACCTACTGCCAAGGCTGAGAAAAATAGAAAGACTGTTCCTGGTTAAATACCCAGAGTCTATTGGTGCCAGACTTTCCTGGGCCTCAATCCTCAGAGTCTCTGGCTTTGCTTCCAGAGTTCTCCATAACTTTGTGCCAACCACTCTCTTGGCCCCCTTTCCCCACCACGCCAAGCCCCTGAGCCCAGCCTGACCCCCCAAAAGTCAGGACTGGTGTTTGGCTTTTTTTTTTTTTTTTTTTTTCATCTTCCCATGGTTGGATGACAGTTTTTGGAGCCCAAACTCAAGATACGACCTGACAAGTTTTGTGCTGCTTCTGGGTGTGAGAGGTCGTCTGGAAGACACAGCTTGGATGCTAAAACAATAGAACTTTCAAGGTGGAGGGGGAATCTCATTAGGAATTGTTGAAACCAGGCCTTTATGGAGCAGGCAAATGCATGGCTGCGGTATCCACGCCCACCTCTGGCCATCTCCAAGAGGCACACGTGATCCTGCCAGGATCCAGCAACATTTGTCTATCTTGACTGGGATAGCGAGTATCAGACCTGGAGGGGAACACCTAAGGGTCTTTCTGCAGCTTTGATCTGTTGAGGAGATATGGGCTGGCATCATCATGACAAGGTGTCAGGGAAATACCTCTGAGGAAAGGAGCTGAAATTTTTCCTCAAGGCAACAGCCCATCTAGCTGTGATTCAGCCCAGAAGCTTGGGGGATCCACTTTAAGAGCCACCCAAACCCCAGAAAGAACTAAGCATCAGCTGCAGCTCACTACAAAGAGATGAACAAGGACTCCAATGTCCTGGGTTTGATAAGCATCCAGGGAAATCAGAATGAAGCCATGTTTCCATCTGTTGTGGCCACAGCCAACTCCATGACTACTCGTGAAGCCTCTGGGTTCCTGGAAAATAACAACTGTCTTTCCTCTGCCACCCGCTAGTTATTCTGACCATAGCAGGAACCCTTTGATTGCTGTTAAGTGTTGGAGATACATCCTTCTTCCCATTCACTCAAGATTTTAATTTCATTCACTGATCTGCAGGCCAGCCCCGTGCTGCCAAAATCAACACCTCAGGTCTGCTTTGTCTGGGAGAGTAAGTTAAAGGGGAGCTGGTCCCAAGATGACGGACTTCCCTTTCCTAGCCTTTCCCTGGTACTGCTCAGGTGTGACGGCTTGTTTATGGCACAGTGAGGGGCTTGCTCCTTCGCTCTGTTTGGAATCCATGTTGCAAGGGTACTTGCTTTTTGAAAATCAACAGGGAGACGAACTTCCCTCCCTTTGGGTATGTGTAAAGAGCTCAACAAATTTCACTTGCAGCTGTTACTCGACACTTAAACTAAGACCTCCAAATGCATAAGCAGAAATATCCCCCCTCCCCACTTAAATTAAGCAGGAACGACAGAAACTATGGGAGTGGGTGGTGATGGTTTTGGGCGCTTAAGCCTTGAGGGAAGGAAACCCTAAGGAAAATGAATTGTTTATATGTCTGTCTCCCCCACGAGACTGTGAACTGTTCAGAAGCAATGATCCCATTCTATCCTGTGTGTCCCTAGCTCCCTGCCCAGTGCCTGATCCACAGATGTTTACTGAAATGCACAGATGCAAAGAACTGAAGGGAAAAGCAAAGCCATAAAACCAGGGAAGGAACAGAAACATCAGATTTGTTTTTGATAGTGGTGGCAAAGGAGGTACACTTATAGGAAATGAAGTGACAATTTAAGAGTAGAATTAGACCCAGGATTTATGAGAACTAGCACAAAATGACAACACACATAATCTTCCTCTCATACAATAACACAACATTTTGTTTTCAACATAACATGAAAACCATCAAAGGCTCTCCAGCTGGCTTGCAGATACTGCTATCCCTGACTCTGTCCCAAGACATTCTTCTATGGGCAAATAGAAGAATGTCTTGGCAACTTTTTGGAGTGGGAGTTCTGAGTAGACAGCGAGCATTGTTGTTCCATCAAAAGATGAGAAGATTCAGAAAAAAAAAAAGAAAAGATGAGAAGATTCAGAAACTTCTCTGTGTGCAAATCCATAATGCAGATGACACAGCAGTAGTTGAAACAGTGACCTCACCCTAGAGGTACAGGATCCCTCACCCTGCAGAAGATACTGTGCTTAGAGTCCCAATAGAATCAGTCTTGTCTGAGGTGTGTCTCCCTTTAACTCTGGCATTCTTGAAAATGTTTGCTTCCTCTGCAAGATAACCACCAGAGATTTGGCCTTTGCCAAACAGTGCTGTGTTTCATGTAAGGGGAGTTTAGAGACAAAAGATTTAAATGAGTCTTTTTCTGCAGAATTTGTTACCAAGAGATAAACATCAGGGTATGTTGTACCATGTCTGACCTCATTCTAACATTTCATTTGCGTGCAATCGATGGATTTTCATCCAAAGTGGGGATATTAAAATTTCAGGCTTTTCTTCTTCAGTTATAGCCTCCTGAGTGTCATGTATACTTTATGCAAGATTCCTTTAAACTTGGAAGTCACTTCACTCAAGTCATTAGTTGGTATTCTACGGAACTTTCAAACACAAACGATTTTAAAGCTACTGCCAATAGCTGAATCTCTTAGAAGTTCTGCTGAATCAACAGGGTCTTCTCCTCAGAAATCCCAAATCCTCAGACAACTGGCAAGTAAACAAAGTGTTCATCTGTCACACAGTGTCACCAAGTGTATGTGAGACATGATCAGTGAACACAGACAGGTGGCCTGGTGACTGGGTTGTTTCTCAGTCTAAGCTAACCTTAGTGTAAGCTCTGCACAAACCCGCCACATGGAAAGAGTTTGGGCTTTGATATGAAACAGACCCATGTTCAAACACTGCTCTGCCACTTACTAAGGACCCCTGGCTGCTACTTGTCTTCTCTGAGCCTCAACTGCTTCACGTAGCATGGAGAAAACAACTCACCTCGCAGGCTTGTCAACAAGAGACAAGATAACCACAGAACGTGGTTTGAGATGCAGTCCCCTCAGATACTTCCTTTGGCCTATGGAGGTTCATATGAAGGAGAGAGAGGAGGTCTCTTGTGACCTGGGGTCTTCGTCCCACAGGTGTCTGGACTAGGTGTCCTGAACACCCATTCTCTCTGGCCTGTCTGGACATGGCAAGGTGGGACAAGAGCCCCACCCTATACTAGTCATCCACTTTAGCATCCCCTGCTGCCCCTAGATCCGTATAACCTCCTAGTCTGGCAATTACAAGGGCCCTGAGCTATAATCAAATCTGAAGAATTGATGCTTTTGAACTATGGTGTTGGAGAAGACTCTTGAGAGTCCCTTGGATAGCAAGGAGATTCAACCAGTCAATCCTAAAGGAAATCAATCCTAAATATTGATTGGAAGGACTGATGCTGAAGTTGAAACTCCAATACTTTGGTCACCTAATGCAAAGAACTGACTCACTGGAAAAGACCCTGATGCTGGGAAAGATTGAAGGCAGAAGGAAAAGGGGACAACAGCAGATGAGATGGTTGGATGGCATCACCAACTCAATGGACATGAGTTTGAGCAAGCTCCGGGAGTTGGTGATGGACAGGGAAGCTTGGCGCGCTGCAGTCCATGGGGTCGCAAAGAGTCAGACATGACTGAGCAACTGAACTGAACTGAGCTGTAATCAATATGGTATTTCACACACCTATGTAGAATAACTTTTTTCCAGGGGCTCCAAGTTATTAGTCAATTTCCTTTAGTTAACAGCATCATTTTGCAGGTCAGAAAACTAATGCTAAAAGACTGTCTTGCCCAAAGTTGAACTATGAGAGTTAAAATCAGTTCATGGCTCTCTACTCTTTTGAGGTGATGCAAAATGATTCATGGGCATCTTCTTTGAGAAAAGGCCAGATGTCAGGAGAGGCCTCTCCCACAGGGGAGGCTGGAGGCCCAGGAGCGCTGGAGTCAGAAACATAGAATACAAGTAGGTTCCCAGCGTCAGGAAGAGCCACTTGGTCTAGGACACAACAACATTTAGAAAAGAAATTTGTATCTTTGCCTAGCTCCTTGAGTTGTCCAAGACTGACTTCTTCCTAGAATCACCCTTAAGAGATGAAGTCTTAAGACCTTGCTCACTCAGAAAGTTGCCTAGTTGGCCAGCCAAACGTAGTTTAAGGCATTCATGGCCATCAAAGACCACAAAGGCCATACTGGCCTGCTAACTGGGATGCCAAAGAAGTAGCAACCACATCCACAGGCTTCATCCTGAATAAATTATCCAATTTAGAATATCTGGGGGAACCTTTGCAGAGACTTGATGGTCTCTGAAATGGTCAAATTTCTGGAAATTTGGATGGTCAAATATCTGAAAATGGTCAGTTTTCATTCCAATCCCAAAGAAAGGCAATGCCAAAGACTGCTCAAACTACTGCACAATTGCACTCATCTCATACGCTAGCAAAGTAATGCTCAAAACTCTCCAAGCCAGGCTTCAACAGTACATGAACCATGAACTTCCAGATGTTCAAACCAGATTTAGAAAAGCCAGAGGAACCAGAGATCAAATTGCCAACATCCACTGGATCATCAAAAAAGCAAGAGAATACCAGAAAAACATCCACTGCTCTATTGACTATGCCAAAGCCTTTGACTATGTGGATCACAACAAACTGTGGAAAATTCTTCAAGAGATGGGAATACCAGACCATCTGACCTGCCTCCTGAGAAATCTGTACGCAGGTCAAGAAGCAATAGTTAGAACTGGACATGGAACAACAGACTGGTTCCAAATCGGGAAAGGAATACGTCGAGGCTGTATATTGTCACCCTGCTTATTTAACTTATATGCAGAGTACATCATGGGAAGTGCTGGACTGGATGAAGCACAAGCTGGATTAAGATCACTGGGAGACATATCAATAACCTCAGATATACAGATGACACCACTCTTATGGCAGAAAGCAAAGAACTAATACAGATGACATCACTCTTATGGAAGAAAGTGAAGAACTACTAAAGAACCTCTTGATGAAAGTGAAAGAGGAAAGTGAAAAAGTTGGCTTAAAATTCAACATTCAGAAAACTAAGATCATGGCATCTGGTCCCATCACTTCATGGCAAATAGATGGGGAAACAATGGAAACAGTGACAGACTTGATTTTGGGGGGCTCCAAAATCACTGCAGATGGTGACTGCAGCCATGAAATTAAAAGATGCTTGCTCCTTGGAAGAAAAGTTATGACCAACCTAGACAGCATATTAAAAAGCAGAGACATTACTTTGCCAACAAAGATCTGTCTAGTCAAAGCTATGGTTTTTCCAGTTATCATGTATGGATGTGAGAGTTGGACTATAAAGAAAGCTGAGTGCTGAAGAACTGATGCATCATATCTGGAAATTTGGATGGTTAAGATGGAATGCAAATGGGTCTTTTCCAGATGTCTTTTTCAATACTTTGGCCACCTGATGTGAAGAGCTGACTCATTTGAAAAGACTCTGATGCTGGGAAAGATTGAAGGTGGGAGAAGGGGACGACAGAGGATGAAATGGTTGGATGGCATCATCGACTCAATAGACATAAGTTTTGAGTAAACTCCAGGAGCTAGTGATGGACAGGGAAGCCTAGCATGCTGCAGTCCATGTGGTCTGCAAAGAGTTGGACACAACTGAGCAAATGAACTGAGTCTTTGAATATGACTGATTCATCAGATTCAGCATCAGGAATCTGAACTAGATTCTCATGGGGCAATGATGGTTTCAGATGACTTTTTAAACTAACTGGAGAAACTGACCTTGGTTAGCATCTCATCAAGGGACCACATGGGCTCATTCCCTCCCCACCTCGCCACTGTGATTTTGGGGACAGGCTCATTGAAAAGGGAACTGGTGAAAAAAGTATTCTTAAAGTCAGAAAAACAGTTACTTCCGGAAGGGTGAGATAATTGCTCTGCAGTGCTGTAATGTACTTTCTTTCCTGGATGATGGTTGCATATGCACTTCTCTTATAATTATTTGTTAAAGTGTATATGCTGTATGCTTTTTTGGTATATATGTTCACTTCCAAATAAAAGAGGAATTATTCATTTTTAAATGAAAGTATATTACAGGATACCTGGAGCTGGTCTGTTATGCTTGAGGGTCTAAGTGAAATCAAAGCAGAGGTAAAGAGCCCTCTGGTCAAGCCACCTGGAGAACCTCCATTGTTTCTTAAGAGAAGTGTGGCTGAGCAGAGGTCTCAGAGCTCAAGCTGCTGTGGCTTGGAGGTAACACTGCATGAGAAGCTGAAGGCAGTATTTTATTGTGTTAATCCAAGAACAATCTACCAGCCTCTCGAGTCTTATGAATAACTTCATGAAGGGATGAAATCACTCAGTGATGAATGTTCATCAAAGCCACAAGAGCAGCAAGTGTAAAAGATTTAAGACTGTTAGATAACCTACAAGTGTAAAGCTAGAGGGAGAGAATTTTGTTTTGTGTGTTTAAGACATCTCATACTACTCAGGAGAGCTTGATGAGGTGGGAGTAGATTGAATGCACTCTAAAGGAGTAATTTCCAAGTTAAGATTCCAATTTGCTGAGTATGGGAGGTGGGGTCAGAAAGGAAAAAAAAAAATCTGTATTTTAAAAACAATTACAGGGGAATTTCCTAGCAGTCCAATGGTTAAGCCTTGGTGCTTTCACTGCTGGGTCTTGGGTTCAATCCCTCCTTGAGTAACTAAGATCCTGCAAGGTATGCAGCGTGGCCAAAAAGACAAAACAAGCAAAACACAACAAAAACAAAACAAAACAAAATTATAAAGGGGAATTTGTTTTGATTTTCCAGAATGAGAACCAATGTCAAAAACAACATGCTCACTTCCCCAAGAAAGCCAGGGTCCCTAACATTTCTCCTACAAGGCCTGTATCAGAGGTCTGGTTTTCTCTGCCAAGCTTATCTATGGTTGGAAAAAGAATATATTCCACCTGCCACCCCAAAACTTTTGAGGAGCAGGGTTTTCTTTTTTTTGCCATACTCAAAGCACTTGTGGGAGAGTCAAGGGTTGCGGGGACTTTGAGAAATACATGTGCAATTATATGCAAATAAGACCACCCACCAAAGTGTTCTTCCCTCTGGATGGCAAGTAACTTATTTTCTTGTACTTTTTTTTTAGTTTCCAAATTTTCTACATTGAGTTTCTTATGCAGTAAAACAATAACGAATTAACATTGAAAAGACTGATGAGAACAGACATCCTCTGTTTTTGCCAAACTGGTCTCTCCCCCTGGAGCTGAGTACAAGCACTTGTCCCAGCTGTTGGCTCTCAGTGCAAGGAGGCACCGAGGCCCTGCGGGGCATCACGGACAGCAGTCCGGGAAGGGTGAGAGGGCAAGCAGGTCTGGACCAGGTCAGGGCTCCGGGAGTCCAAGCTGACTGCTTCTCAAGGGTTACTGGGGAAATGCAAAAACATTTCTACAGTTTTCTTTTCCTTCCCCACCTCCAATTTAAACCCTGAATCATCACATACAGCAGTCACTTACTTAGTCCTTTTAAACATTCATTTATTCACTGTACAAAATATTTACACTACTGCTGCAACTGTGTGGCCCTTTGGTCTGGCCTGACAACTTTGCAGTAGGGCTTGGTCTCTGCTGGAGTTCTAGAAACATGCCAACACTTTCCTTGGTGTTCACTTGGTGCCTGGTCTCCTTCACTAGCCAGGAGGTCAGCTGGCCGCCCAAGTACCTGGGCCACAAGGGCATAAATAAAAGAACTGACCAAAATAAGAAACAGGCACTCTTTCTTCTCTCTGACATGGTGTACGTCTCCCCACACCGGCTAATTTCAAAGCAGAATTAGAAAAGAAGGTCAAAGGAAAGGGCAAAAGAGCAAAGATACTTTTGAAGAGCTAGGAGAGAGAGAGAGAGAACACTCGAAGAATACAAAACCACAACAGTACCAAACGGTTTTGTGAAACAAAGACCCTGGGGCTAAGGACCACCGCAGGCTGCAGCTGCGCTGCCATGGTACCCAGGATGCTCTGAAACGTGCTATGACTAGAGCTCAGAAAGGACAGATCGAGCCAAGAAAATCAACTCGCGCTCCAGCATCAGTCTCTGGAGGGGCGGGGGAGCACAGGGTTTGGAAGAGGAACAACGGCCAAAGACAGCAGAGCCAGCCCACGTGCCCCCAGCTGGAATCCCTCTCTGGGCCCAAAGGGTGGCATCATGCTTCCCAGGGGGATGATGAAACTTGCCTGTACATATCCCATGGGGCAGCACCTTGTCCTGGTCCCTGAGGAGAGCAGTGACCGTGTGGCGTGGAGGACCTGGGGTAGAGAGGGCCCCAATGCTGGACCCTGGACCCCAAGGGTGAGTGAGGTCAGCATTCAGCACCCATGCCAAGGACAAATGACAACTGCGAAGGAGTGAGGTCAGGCAGGAACTGTAGCAGCTCAGAAAGGCTTGTTCCTCGTGATCCCTGGGAACAGGAGGGCTCAGACGTGCTTCCAGCAGGCCAAGGCATGGCCTCAAGTCCTGCCTCATCTCTGGACTCCTTGTACTTGCTGGTTTTGGCAATAAAGATGGCTTGTTAATGTTCTCAGAGTCGAAAGCCCCATTGGGAATGGTCGCTTGCAGCAAAGCCTTCTTAGAAACAGAAACTTCAGAATTCGATGAGATTCTGAGTCTTGAAAATGTCTTCATTCAAATCATTAATGGCAAAGGTTGTTGTCATCTTCCAAGAAACAGCTGCAGGCTCTCTTCAATCATGTCACAGTGAACCTAGTGTGTCTTCCTCCCTCCTGAGGTGCCCTTGCTGGTAACTGAGGGAGTGACAGAAGTCACTGGAACAGCGAGGCGTTTATCGTCTGACACAGCTCCTCGATGTGTGTCCCTTGTGTCCTGACCCTAAGGACCTCTGAGAAGCAATTACTGATCCCTTCTCCCTTGCCTCAGTGCTGCCAGGGAACACCAAGCAGAGAGAACCAGGGACCAGTGGCATGCTATCAAACTGGCATGCTATCAAATTTCTTGCTCCAAAATTTTCTTCAGTGGAAACCTAAAGAATGCCCAGCTCTCAGCAGACAGCAGCACAAGTTGGAGGTGAGGAGCCAGGCCCAGGCACACCTCAGTGTAAAGAACAAACTCAGGGACAAGCATCAGTCGTCTTCAAGCCAGTCACATGCCAAGAAATGCCCGACAACCCTAAAGGAGTATCGCCTTCAGCACTGGCGGCTACAGCCTGGCTAGCTTTCACATTCTTAGGTCTGTCTCAAAGGTTTATTATACTCAAAAAAAAAAGCTTACTAGGGAGTTCTTCTTTATGAATTAAATGATCATTTCTGGAAACTTTTGCAAGGAAAAGCTCCTTTTCCAGTTCTGATGCCACAGAAAAAAAGGACCCTTTGGTACTATCAGTAACCACACAAGCTAGTCCCATGCCTGCACTGGCCGTTGTGCAGAGGGACAAAGCTGAAGTCTGTCTGTCGCTGTGGGCCTCCCCCGGTCTGTGCTCCTCTTGGCGAGCAGACAGTCACCTGTCCCCGAGAAGGACTCACAGACTCTGGGTCAAGGGGACACGGAGGGAAGCCCTGCAGAGCATCGGCAGAGGAGGCTGAGTGAGGCGAGGACCCCAGCACTCCCAGAAAGGCCGAGCCTCGGTGTCGCCTCCCTCAGCGGCTGAGGCAGCTCCCGCCTCTGAGCTCCTCTGAGAACCAAGGGTGAGCGCAGCGGGCCCCCACCCTCCTCCTGCGACTGAGCCACTTGCTCAGGGTAGGGACCTGCCAGAGGGGGCCGTGGGGGGAAGGCGGGAAGGGAGGGGGTGAGGGAAGGACAAGGCTGGGAGGTGACCGACTCCTCCACACGCTGGGGGGGCACGTGGCAGCTTCCGGCTGATGGTTCTGTGTCTGTCGGGGTCAGCGGTCGCGTCTGTGGCGCGAGCCGCCTGGAGGCTCCGGGAAGCCACGGGAGCCGAGCAGACGGTAGGGAGAGCGGTCAGAACATGCCAAAGCCCTCGCAGCCCTCGCTGATGGCCAGCTGCAGCATCCTGTGCACCTCTTCGTAGGAGTCATACGTAGGGAGGCACAGCTGGTTGAAACTGCAAGGTCGAGGGGAGGGGAGGGATTAACTCACACGAGCAGACCATGCCGCCGAGGGCTGCAAAGATAACCCTCTGTGACAGCCTGCGCCGGGCCATCGGATACCCACCACGTGTGTGCAGTTGGGAGCGTGCTGTGGGTCGGGGCCGCGATAATCTGGAAGGAGGGACAGAGGGCAGCAAAGCCTCCGGGTGGCAGCTGAGAGGAGCCTGTGGTGAACTGCAGCAGCCGAGCCAACTCTTCCTGTGTCAGACTGGAAACCACGGTCCAAAACCACCTCATGACCTGTGGGGAGAGCACGAGGCTTGGGTCACACCCAGGTGTGGCTGCGGATCTGACCCCTGGGGGAAGGAATGGGGTGCTCTGAAGTGGGAGGAGGGGGCCCCGGTGACTTGCACATAGGTAGGAACACCTAGAATCAACAACCTCTTTAAGAGGGAGTGACGTGGACACACAGCCTGGAGGGCAGTCCCTGACTGCTTGGTTCTATCTCTCTGTCTTTTCAACATTATTGCTTCTGGACGCAGCATCAATAGCCCTTAAGGACAAGGGTTCCCGTCTGTCTGGATGACCACCTGCCTTTCCCCGCCATGTATCGCTTTTTCCCAGTTAACATATCTGCTTCTCAGCTTTTTCTGAAACTTTTTCTGTATAATATGGTACAAATTCAACTGAAAGAATTTTGGCCCACTTACCTTTTCTCTGAAATGCCACGAGCCACCAATGACCACTGCGTGGGCTTTGAAGTCAGATACACTGATGTCCCCAGTCCCACACATCAGCAGCTGGAGAAGACAGTCAGGTGTTTACTGGGACAGTCAGAGGGGTGAAGTCCCATCATAAGGTCAAAACATGTTAACATGCAAAATATGGAATACAGAAACATGAATACTACTTTAGGAAAATCAATTATAATAGGTCAATGGTTCCTAACCAATGCAGTAAAACTCACAGGGCTTTAATATACATATATAGATAGATAGATGCCTATAGCCTTACCCCAGACCTAGTGAATCAGAATATCTAGGGACAGGTTACAAGCTTCTGTACTTGGAAAAAGTTTCCCAGGTGTTTCTGATGGGCACCCCTCATTAAGAATTGCTGCTTTATGTATCATTTTGATGAAACAAAGGACAAAAAGGGAACCAAGTGTTTACTGACTGCTCTGGATGTGGCCTGGGAATACCAGGGGGGAAAGCAGGCCCCTCCCCTTCGATGAAGACCCCAGCCCCATTTACTAATTTGTTAGGTGGCCTTTCCTTTTCCCTAAATCCACCCTTCTTTTGTAGACTGAACTTTTACTACTGTCCCTTCAGCTCCACCTCTACTTGATCAGATAAATGAAAACGAATGCCAAAAAATGAGAACATTAATGACATCAGAGCCCTAAACATCTTGTTGATGTCCTAATTTGGTTCAGGATCCAGCAAGTTACTTAGCAGACTATGAGTACTCATCCAATAGCTGTAAAGGCAGTCCTAATCAAGAGACAAGAGAAGCCCAAATGAAGTGTGAGAAGCTTGGTGCCTTCAAAAAGAACTCGCTAATGAGTAACTAAGAGCAGGACGGGGAGCAATCCTGAGAGACTGCACCTTCCTCCTACACACTTTACCAATTGTTAACGAACGTTTTGCTTCAGGATAAAATCCACCAGTAGCTGTTTCTCAGCCCGGAAAATGCTGGCACTAGGTGACAGGTCTGCCGGAAACTTCGGGCTGAGAGATGGAGACTGCATTATTTGGATTTTATACCTAAAGGTACAAAACGTGCTGAAAATTATGTAAGACATTGATTCTTGTTCTCAAAGCCAGTTCAGTTAATAAGAATAAAAATGGTGCAAGACTACCTGAAACTCCTGATTCCTTTTGGGGTGGAGGGGGAGGGGGCATACTTCATGGCATGTGGGATCTTAGATCCCCAACCAGGGATCAAATCCATGCCGCCTGCATTGGGAGCGCAGAGTCGTTAACCACTAGACCACCAAGGAAGTCCCCTGTCTCCCCATTTTTAAAGAAGAACTTCCTCACTGTAGGAAACAGCTTAGAGAAACTTTAATAAAGACTATGGGACGTTAAAGCTAGTAACTTGCATTATATGTATCATGTGTGAGCAGTGGGTAAAAACAAACTGGTTTTACTTTTTGCCTATACCCAAGTTCATGGAACTTCAGTCTTATAGCAAGGTATTTACCATCTTACAGTGCATTCCGGTTGTCACAGGATCTAAAGGAAGAATATATTAACTCTGTAGTGTTGTCAACCAAAGCTATGACAGGCCTCACATCCTTTGGATTGTCTCCTTCACTAGAATGTGGCTCCATGAGCCCCCCAGTTCCTCAAAAGCACTTGCCATATAGGAGGCACTCGATATGAACAGTCTCTGAACAAATAAATGCTTCTAACCCCTTAAATCAACTTAAAAGTTCATAGGATTTATAAAGACTGTACAAGATACCAACATTCTTTACCATTCAACCAGTATCAATAATATTTGATGAGTAAATAGTCATTATTACTATTTATCAATAATTATTCCACATTCAAATTTTTTTAAAAGCTGGAGAAAGGGTCCATGACTAGAAGAGCAACAAAGTGAAACCAACTCTGAAAGGGCTTTCTTACCGCATCTCATAACAGAAGGTGCAGGAAGCTGGTTCCTGTGGGCATAATAAAATAGGAAGCCAGGGACAGGGAGTTCCAATTGTAAGCACTTACCTCAAGCTCATTCTCATCAAAAATAGCCAAGAGGTTTTCAGGGACTAACTCATTCAGGCCTGAAACAAAATATCCAAGTTAAAGCTATATCCACACCATGTGATACAGGTATTTACACCTCAAAGCCAAGAGTCAACAGAATCCCACCTTTTAGGAAATGTTCCACCTCCTCTTTCACTTGGCTGGCCAGTCGATACTGGGCCAGCAAATTTAAATAGAAGATTTTATTTGCGTTGGTGACAGGGGTTTGAGCTCCACCTGTCATAAGTTCTACAACCTGAAAGAAGAAGCAAAAGACAGAGAGAGCGTGTGGATGGGAGTTTAAAAGACGACAGCTACCCAGCATGTCCCACAAACAGCACATTATTGAACTGCACCACAGTCACACGTTCCTGCTCAGCATTCAGGTTTTCAACACACTTGGTTTTACTCAGTAACTAAACTTCAGGGTTCCTACCACTATTGCTGTATTCTACTCACTACTGTTTCTGAAGTGGGTCTCTCAGGAAGATATGTATGTTTCCTTGTTAGCAACATTTTAACACTCCTCTGATCCAAAATTAAACCATTACTGACCTCTTCTCTTAAACCCGAGACAACTGAGACTCTATAAAGCCAGATAAGTAGTAAAGAAGCATAATCTCAGAAATTCCAAGACGTGCACAGATGTTCCCCTACATTCTTCTATTTCTAACGTGAGGCAATAGAAAAAGCCATGGCTTGATACCTGGAGACTAACTAGCTATGGGGTTTCAGTCACTCAGCTATTTGGACTCCCAGTTTTTCCATCTGTGAAGAAAAGGCTGAACTGTATGATTTTCAAATAGAGCTGGCACCCTCCTCCAATAAGCAACTCCTAAGGGAGCCACCTTCCCTGGTGGCTCAGACGGTAAAGCGTCTGCCTACAATGCGGGAGACCCAGGTTCAATCCCTGGGTCGGGAAGATCTGGAGCAGGAAATAGCAACCCACTCCAGTATTCTTGCCTGGAAAATCCCATGGACGGAGAAACCTGGTAGGCTACAGTCCATGGGGTCGCAAAGAATCGGACACGACTGAGCAACTTTACTCACTTTAAGGGAGCTTTGAGGAAGCCCTGAAACAGTTTAAAGCCACCCTGGGAAACCTGTGCACAATGAGCAAGGTTGTCTTCACAGGTGAATGAAGGCCTACATTTAGTTACAGGATCATATTTTAAGGTCCTGACCATGGCATGGGAGGGACAGAACTTTGGTCCAAAGCAAAGATTCTCAATGGATTTAAACATGTAAGACTTTTTCTGTTATTGTGTGCACAGTTCTGGTTATTTTTATTTTATGTGTGTAAGCACTTCTAACTATTAGCCTAAGTAGTGACTAAGATTTAGTATTCATATCAAATCCAATTAAAATCAGTACTCCCCTAGGCCTGCAGACCCTAATTCAGTCTTCTATTGACTCGAGACGCCTTGCAGTGCTGGGTCAAGAAAACGGGCTCCATCCACACAGGTGTGAAGGCCAGTGGCCAAGATCCACAAAGGGCTCACAAGGGTATCTGATTATCAGTTCAGTGCTATTAGTGATCACAAACTTTCAGTCATTGCTATTTTGCTTTCAATTATTTCTAACTGCAACTTCAGGTTTGTCATGATCATTTGATATTATTTAACCCCAGAATGCAAACAAAATCACATGTGCATCAGAAATACTTTTGGCCGTTTTCTAATAAAAACCTTAAAAATAAATAGGCACAGTGTTAAAATGGGAGTCAACTACCTCCCTGCTCCTAATGTTGAGACAGACACTGTCATCCCTTCCAAAACTGCCTGTGCAGTGACACTTCACTATCACTTCGTTCTTTTTCTACTGGAAAGGAGGGACTCGTGGGATGGATGGTGTATGTCTCCGGTTCCATTTAAATAGGCCAAGGCCATACAATGTGGGATACAGTGCCCCAAAGCTACACTGTCCGATACGGCTGTCACTAGTCACAGGTAGTTAGTTTAGAAATTCAGGTATTTGGTCATACCAGACACATTTTGGGTGTTCAAAAGTTTAAATACAGAACACTTCCATCATTGCAAAAGGTCTACTAGACAGCCCTGATGCAGAGGAGGCTGGGAAATGGGACCCACAGGCTTCAGTTCTCTGTCTCACCTTATCCAATTGACCTGATTTATTATATTTCTCTTCTGCAAAGACCAGCTCCATCTCACTCATGTCATTGTTGAGGATGAAACAAACTTTAGATTTGTAGAATTCTGGGTCATCTGTTTCAAAATACTGAGGAGACAGAAAGACACAGAACACAGCATGACCACTCTCACCCAGAAATAAAATTTGTAACTGCTTGGAACTACTTACCCCCTCAAACCTCAAGAATAATAAACAGAGGGTGGAGAGATTCCAGAGCTAATGGCCAGGGGACTTAGCAGAACACACATACCTAAGACCTTACCTTGTAATGCATGCGCAGTCCTATGATCTGGGCCAAGAAAGAACGGGTAAAGCGAGCACGGACCAGCTGCTTGTAGGTGCCTCCTAGAGAGGACTCATAGAGACACTTGCCCACCAGGCGCCCTGCAAACTCATACATCTTTAGGCGCAGGTGAGTGGGGCGATTAGGGTTGGGGTGCACCTGTCAAAGAGAGAGATTAAAAGGTTGTGGGTCGTTTTTCTTCAAGCCTAGTTCTGGAAAGATTCTCCCTCCACAACTCTATCCCAAGGGAGCAAAAATTTCAGTGTTGGGATCAAGGAGCCCATTCAAATGGCATTGTTTGGTAGCCACCACTGAGTAATTCAAAGTGACTGGAGGATAAAGGACAAAGATGGACTTACAATAAACTGAAAAATCTTCTATTGATTTTGTGGTCCCTGGCTACAGACGGAAGTCAATCAGTGGATGATATAATGCCTCTTTTCTAAACCAGAACCTCTTTCAGCCAGAGTCTACTTCCCTACCTCCCCTAGTCAAAGACCTTGTACAGAGTTCAATTGCTTCAGGGATGTTCTGAAAAAAGTGGCTTAATTATTAAAATACTAAGGAGTAGAACAGCCACTGCACTATAATGCTTTTTATTCATCTGTCTGCATTTTCTCTTAGAGATGAAATAAGGAAGGCAAAGAGGAGGGAGATAATCTGATTAGTTCAAATTCTTACTAGTCTCTCCATCATAACATAATTCACATTTTGCTCCCACCCCTGGGGAAGTCACAGACTCACTAATGCTTGGTTGGTGTCACTGAATCGGGTGAAGAGCTGATTGGTGGTGTCAAATAGTGCTTTGCAGATTAACTCAAACCATTCCCGACGAGGCCCTCCCCAGTCCAGAGCTGGAAAGGATAATAAAAATAAAAAGTGACACTGGCTTATCACCTTTTATCATTTTTGTTCATTTATTCATCATTTTATACTCTCTGATCCTTCCTCCCTCCATTCCACCACCTTGGTGTCCCATATTCCAACCCACCTTAACAGTGGACTTTTTTTTTTTAATCCCACCTCATTCTGTAGGATTAAAGGTATTCCAATCACTAAGCTAATGCCCTCTAGCGTGGGAACACAGATCCGAGATCCCAGGAACTGATGCTTCTCATGGTACTACAAAGGTTACTCTGCCCTTCTACTTCAAACTCCTAAAAGCTCACCCTCCAAATCCTTGGCCGTCTGTGCTCTACAAGCTCAACCAAGCCATCTAGCCAGTAAACACCACCCTTTTGGTCTTGACTCATGACTTCTTTTTCCCAAGGAAAAAGAAGCTGGAGCAGGGGTGGCAAGCATGTGTAGGAGGGTTGTTCTCAGTTTCTGTGGATATAGTGTAAGGAAATAGGGAGGAGTGGGAAGGAGAGTTAAAAAAGATGAGTGGGAGATTTCAAAACTGACCTTCTTCATCCTGAAAAACCACTTCAAAGTTCTTGCTCCAATCTGAGATGGAAAAATTCCGAGTGGCTTTCAGAGACTGAAAAGCAGTAAAAGAAAAGAAATTGTCAGAACACTGGCCAGTACCTCTTGGGTGTTTAAGACAAAAACACAAGAACATTACCACTGTCCATTTAATAGTCACAAGTATTTGGAGGCAATATATTACTCAAAAATAAGCTTTAATAATACCATCTTAAATTTAAAATGCACATATCTCCAGAAGAAGTTTAAGATAAAAAAAATCAAATTCATATTTACACCACTGCTTGGCTGGAAAGTTGAAACTTTTTTTTTTCTAACAGTCCTCATTAATGAGAAAACTCTTAAATAAAAACGGCTCAAATCAGTAAGCTGTCAGCAAGAGAATCAAGGAGTCTTGGTTTTCAGTAAAGTACAGTGTCCCCACTAGACATCTTAATCCACAAGGCTAGGTTCAGACAGGGAGCCATGCCACAAGGAGAAAGTGGCTAAGAAAAGGGGTTTCCAGGCACACCTACCAGAGCCAAACATCACAAACACTTTCTGGACAGGGACCAAAGCCTCCTCATTGTCAAGGAATGTGAGAACTATGCCAGTGTCTGTGTAGTGGAGACAGAAACACATCAGGTGTTCCTTTCCCATCAGACCAGAGTGACAACAAAAATCATTTCCTTTGAACCCCGTAAGAGCTCTTCTTAATCCTGGGATTCAATAACAGGAACTTCCTTCTATAACAACAACTTAATACCTGCCTTACATAGGAAGTCCATGAGATTGTTCGGCAACTAGTCAAGAACAGGTTTTACAGCCAATATGTCAGCTAGTCTCTCCCCTCAATTAACATAGCTGCAACAAATCTGCCCCAAATTCAGTATAGCCAAACACAAAGAACAGCGCTTAACATGTTTAAAGAAGACAGAGATGTGTTTCATAAAAACAATAACCTGCAGGATATAACCAAATAGCACAAAGGTTTCTAGCTGGAAAATTTTGACAACTGTTCAACTGCTGACATGAAAAAACTTTACTCACTGATTCCAACAAGGCATGTCTGCTGACCTTCAGGGTGACTTTAGAATGTGGTCTTTTTATATGTACCTGCCGAAGCTCTCGATGGAAAAAGTTCACCTTGTCCTGAAAGGTCTCGGAGCCTCCTGAGGAGCAGCAAGATCCAACGTGATTACAGTCTCTTTACAAGACCCCTGTGAAGGCCACCCCTATACCCTCATGCACTCAGGGTATCTGGGGTCACTGCCTTCCCCATCAGACTCCCTATCCAACCTCACCTATGTTTTTATGGAGCGAGCGGATAAACGTGGCTGCTAAGATGTTTCTCTCCTTACAGCTGAGCTCCACCGGAGGCTGAATGCCGTCATCCACCACAAGGGTGAGCAGCTTATGGACAGGGTCAGGGCCAAGGTATGAAAACTAACGAAAGGGAAAAAAAAAAGAAAGAGTTACTCTATGAAGCCCTCAAATCCAGCAAAAACCCTTCACATCCCTTCCCTTCTGCACCAACCAACAAAAACAAGTTAAGCCTATTTTTTCCAAGTAAGTACCTAAAAGGAGTACATTTCCTTGTTTTTCACTTCAGGTGGGGGTCAGGGGTGCAGCTCAGCGGTAGAGTGCATGCATTGCATGTATGAGGACTGGGTTTCATCCCCGGAACCTCCAGGCATTGATTCCATTTTGAGGCTTTGTCCTCTACCACTGTGCCAATGGTAAAGAACCTGCCTGCCAATGCAGGAGACACAAAAGACGTGGGCTCGATCCCTGGCCTGGGATGATCCCCTGGAGAAGGGAATGGCAACCCACTCCAGTATTCTTGCCTGGAAAAGTTCATGGACAGAGGAGCCGGGTGGGCTACAGTCCATGGGATCACAAAGACTCAGACACGACTGAATGACTGAGCATGCTCTATGATTCAGATTTTATTTTAAACTTGAGTCACAGAGACCACCTGTAAGGATCACAGGCAAGGTAAGTAAGGATCACAGGTAAATACTACAGACTTTCAAACATAAAATATAAGAAGTGTGAAAGCCATAAGGATATGTAAAACAGCAAATGAATACCTGAATAGGTTCGGCAAACTGGCTGGAGGAAAATGATTTGCCAGTAGATTTCAAAAGCTCAGAAAAGTTAAAAAAAAATTAATTTTTTTTTTAAATGGATGAGACTATGGTGCTGAAACAGTTAGTTTTGGCACATTAGGAAGCCAAGTTCAGGTCAGAGCTCCAATACCCTCTCCATTAGCTTAGTCTTAGGGGCAAGAGAAAGTTGTTGAAGTATTCTGACTTCTACTAACTACTGTTTCTGTAGGCATGTGTCTTCCTACAACTATAGCCTTCATGAGGAGGTAGCATCTGCTTCTTTATTTGGCAATGAATCCTGTGTGCACAATGAGAATTTCCAGAAACACCAAAAGCCCTTCTGGGAAAAAATAAAAGGTTGGACGCTGAAGCCTGTTCTACACGAACCGGATATAAGGTTCAACTTACTTTGGTTCCAGGGCACACCCGGAAGGTGTAAAGGCGCCAGGGAATGATTTTCAGGTAGAACTCCTTCACTGAGAATTGCTGTAGAACCAACATAAAGAAAATGAAATGAATGATTAAGAGGTTCTGTTTGGGTATTGTATTTCAAATACCTGTCCCCATCTGTATGTTCCATGATAGCCCTCTTCCTCTCTAAACAAGGAGGATAATTTAGTCAGGACTGAAATCAAATAGAAAACATCAATTCCACCTTAAAACAGGCAAATTTAAACTACTGTTGTCACACTGCAATTTCACAAAGATATCTCATAACCTTAATACCCAGGTCTTACTCAGTTCAGTTCAGTTCAGTCGCTCAGTCGTGTCCGATTCTTTGCGACCCCATAAATCGCAGCACGCCATTTCCAAATATCTGAGATCAGGTTTTCACTTTACCGGTATAGAACATTTCACAATCAACATTTCATTTCACAACAACATTTCACTAGAAACAATCAGACTCTCCTCCTGCTTAGCCAGATACTTCTCAGAGAGACTTCTTCCAAATCAGTGGACAGGGAACACCAGTGGCCCCTGCCCACTGCTTTATCCCTATTAGAATGCCACCAAGGATGTGCTGTGGATGATGGTGTTGGGGGGTGGGAGGAGTCGCATACAAAAGAGTTCACAAAAACCCTATAGGTAGGAATAAAAAGAAGTCTCTTGTCATTTACAAAAAAAGGAAAAGACAATGCAGTAACTTTTTAATCTAAAAAGACCCCTCCATTATCTGAACAAATAGGTCAGGTTTTTTTCTTGATTTTTTAAAAAAATTCATTAAAAAACATTTCAAACACATACTAAAGAAAACAGTACAATGAATTATCACCAGCTTCAACAATAATCAACTCATAGCCAATCTCATTTCGTCTCTACCTTACCATTTCCCTCATTGCCATTCTCCAGGACAAATGAAGGCTAGATGTTTAAATGATGAATGGTACACAGTGAAGTGTTCTGAAGTAGAACAGAATTAGAACTCAGTTTTTGCTATGAGATTAAAGGAATGTAATGGGATGGTTCGAGTCTCGTTTTTCTGAGGCCTGTATGAATAAGCAAAATACAAATACTAAAAAAGAAACTCCCTAACACAAAGCGTCTCTCAGCTCAGGGGCCTTGGGAAGTTCACCTCCCTTGTCTCTGCCAAAATTTCTCTATTCTAACCCTGTACCCCGATGATGACATCTCTTGTGGTTTCACAAATCACAGCATGAAAGATCAAATTGTTCCCAAACGGCACAAAGGGCCAACAGTAATTTTTATACTAGTGAGAAATTATTAATGGTTAAAAGTAGCTTTCTTTAAAATCTAGAGCCATGCCTTGAAAAATCTTCCCAGGAGCGATCAAACAGCAGAATGCCCCAGGTGGTCGAAAGTACCAAAGCACAGACTCTCGGGACACAGATGTAATCCAGTCCAAACCAGAAAGAGGCAGCAGAAGAGGAGGTACAGCCTTTTGCTCAATGGGAAGCCATCTCTTAGTATCCCTGAACCACAAGGTGATGATCGCACCCTGATTCTCAGACCATTGCTGGGTGGGTTTTGTTACCAAATAAGAGCAAGCTCGGGCAGGGGGCAAGGGGGGGTGCCAACCTTTGGTGACACGTAGCAGTACACCTTCTTCGGTTTCTTCACCTTCTCAGGGGTGTGACACTCAGAGGATGAGTCTTCATCTTCCTCCTCCAGAGCTGTGGAGGACCGGCGCTGGGCAGAGCTCGTGTGCATGGGCGGAAGGTGCCACGGCGTGCTGGTGCAGTTGGCAGCATTATACAGATAAGCTTCAAAGTAAATGCTCACTCCTGAGGTGGACACGTTGCGTTCAACAATATTCCTCTCATTCTCTGAAGTACAACAAGGAATAAGGTTTAAAGTGCAACACAGGAGAGGAAACTGCCCATCACTAGACCTTCAGTCCACAGGTCTCTAAACCAAGTTTTGGCTCAAATACCAAACATTTGGGGTGGAGGGGTTGGTCAGATGACTATGGGTGTGCAAAGGACAAGTGGCTTGGGAAGAGGACTAATTCACAGCTCTCCTCTCAACTCACCACTTAGGACAATGATGTCAAATTCACCATTGTTGATTGGCTGGTTTTGGTATGAGATGCAGGCATGGAAGCAGCCTCGAGAATGCAAGGTGAGCCGCAGGAACACCTGGCAGGTCTGCCGGTTGGACGTCACTGACTTCTCAAATGAGACACCAGTACTCTCCTCTTCTGGAGGACCAAGCTACAGGAGGAAAACGAAGCCATCACCAATCACACACAATTTTCCCTGCTTGTGCAGAAATTTACAAAGAACTTCCCTACCTTGAGCTAATCTAAGTCTCAGAAGGCCGGAACCACGGTCAAGGAGGAGACGGATCGAAGTGACCTAGATGGGAGCCTGCTCACCTCATGAATGGACAGGCTGTAGTTGTGCTCATCTCTCAAGGACGTGGAATTGTTGGTAGGGTTGTCATACTCATCTCGGGGCACTATTTGAAGAGTGTGCGGCTGCCCACAGGTCAACACCAGGGTAGAAAAATGACACACGATTTTGGTCTTGGAAGGAACCACCATTCCTGGAATAAAGACAAGGGAAGGTACGTCAGAGAGGTGATTTTCAGGGCACAGAGATCTACTCAGTCAGTAAGTCCTAGAAAGCTGGGTGCCCGCCCAATTCCTAGGGATAAACAATACCATTATGAACCAGAGAGAAAGAAAGAAAACAGAGATTAACTCAAATGAACTTTTGGGAACTCATTTTTACAAATTCCTAACCACTGCAAGCACTAAAAACAATGACAGAATAACTTGGAGGAAACAGAAGTGAGAGTTACAGATATAGTGCCTAGAATCCCACTGGGAACCTACATGTGAAACTGGCCTTAAAAATAAGTGAATAATTGTAAGACAAACAGACTCAAAATATTTAGGGACAAATCTAACAAAACCTGTGGAAGACTTGTATATTGAAAACTACAAAATGTTGATTAAAGAAACAAGTTCAGAGGCATACCATGTTTATGAATTCAGAGACTCAACATAGTAAAGATGTCAATTCTACCCAAATGATATTAGGTTTAACATAGTTCTTTTTTTTTGTTTGTTTGTTTCTAGGTTTAACACAGTTCTTATCAAAATCTCAGAAAGATTTTTTGGTAAATTTAGACAGTATTATTCTAAAATTTATATAGGGGGGCGGCCGAGGTGGTTTTGCTGGAGCACCAGGCGGCAGGGCCCTGGCGGTGGAAGATGGTGGAGCTCGGCAAGAAATACTGCGTGTACTGCCTGGCCAAGGAGGACACGGCAGCTCACGTCGGCGCTCGGCGCTTCCCGGACCCCCCAGGAAGTGATGGAGCATTACATAAGCATGTACATCCATGGAAACCTGGGGAAGGCCTGCATCCCCAACACCATTCCCAACCGGGTGACCGACCACACCTGCCCCAGTGGGGGCCCCCTCTCTCCCAGCTTCATCACCCCCCCTGCCTCCCCTAGACATCTGGCCTTTCAGGGACTTGGGCCCGCCCAGGCCTTGGACACGCGGGGCGGGGCCTCGCAGGTCACTGGGACACGGGCTGAAGTCTGAGAACTACCGGGCTGAAGTCTGAGAACTACCGGCTTTAAAGCTCCAGTGTCACCGATTTTCTACAACAGATTCCTAGTTTGGTGAGGTTTTAAATTTAAGTCTTATTTTTATACAAAATGATTGGCAGACTTTCACTAATCTTGAGAAGCAAAAGCTCCCTGTAAAATGTGCGTGGACCCCACCAAGAGCTGTCAAATGATAAGTTCTGTGCTTAAGCAGGTTTTCAGTGTGTGTGTCTTTTCTTGATGGTATGAAGAATTTATTTAAGCTTGACTGTTTTAAAACACCATTAATGAATGTATAATTTATGTTGAAAGTGTGAATCCTTTGTTACAAGGGAAAAGTAATTTTATGATTGGTTGCCTCTTGCCCCATCAACTCCAGCTATTACTGTAACATTAGTCCCGCCCCTGCTGTTTGCTTGGAGCATTTAAATATCTGTATTTAATTCTTATGATAAATGAGTCACCATAATCCCATGGAATTAGGTCTTTTCAAAACTGAAACTCTCTCGAGTCACAGAAGATAATCAGCTGTTCAGAATGATGCTCTGGATGGCCAGCATTCCAAGAATGTATTCAGACCAAAACTCTGCCTACCACCTCTTTTTTCCCCTTTTACACATTAAACAGGTTGAGAACCAAAAAAATAAAATAAAATGTATATAGAAAGGCAAAAGTTCTAGAAGAGCTAAAACAATTCTAAAAGAGAAAAGTGGAAAGAGTCAGTTTACCCAATTTCAAGACTTATTACACAGCTACATCATTAAGATTCTGGTATTGGTGGAAGGATAGACACATAGACCAATGGAACAGAACGAGAACCCAGAAATAGATCACCACAAATATGCCCAATATATCCCTGACAAAGGTGCAAAACCAATGTAATAGGGGAAAGATAGCCTTTCCAATAAATGATGCTGGAGCAACTTGGACATTTATAAGAAAAAAAAATACTGACCTAAATTACAAAATTTAACTAAAAATGGATTACAATCTTAAATACTAAAAGTAAAACTGGAAAATTTTACAAAAAAAAAACACAGGAGAATATCTTCAGAACCTCGGACTAGTCAAAGAGTTCTCAGATACCAAAACATGATCCACAAAATGAAAAATTAATAAATTGACTTCATCAAAATTAAAACTCTTGTTCTGTAAGAGACCCCATTAAGGGGATGAAAAGAAAAGCTAAAGATTGAGAGAAAATGTTTGCAAACCACATCTGTAACAAAGGACTTAAAGAACTCTCAAAACTCAATAGTAAAAAACAAAAAATCCCATCAGAAAATGGACAAAAGACATTTCATCGAAAAGGACACACAGATGGCAAATAAGCACATGAAAAGATGTTCGACACTGTTAACCACTAGGGACATGCAGACTAAAACCACTATTCATAATGACCACAGACTGGAAAACAACCCAGATGTTCTTTAACTGCTGAAAGATTAAATCAAGTATGGTATACTCACACCAGGCAATAATGCCACCCAGCTATAAATTTTTAAACCATTAAATTGTGTATTTTAAATGAATGAACTATAAAGCATGTGAATTAAATTTCAATAAAGGCATTATTTAAAAACCAAAGGAGAAAAAAGGAAGGAAGGAATGGAGGGAGGGAGGAAAAAAAACAAAACACCTACCAGGCTGAAAAATCTTGTAGTAGGGACTATAGGCCACATTTAGTCCACCCAGCTTCACTGAGATTTCATACCGCCCAGCTCTGCGCACAGTGAAGGCCACCTTGACCACGTTGGAACTGGGCTCCTGGAGGACTTCCTGGGTCACTGGAATTTCCACTGCCAGCTCAACATGAGAGATGTGGACTCTCAGTCCCACAGGCCTGTGTGCAGGGAAGGGCTGCCCGTTCTTGTAGAATAACTGTGGTGGGGAGAAGAGGGACACCCGTTGGTAAGCAGGGGGACAACAGCATTTCCTGTGCAACTTGAGAGAGTATGGGGTGGGAGGGGGTGGCTGGTAAATCCCCATGCCCACCTAATCCTACAGTCCTGCTCACACAAGGAGAAACAAATTCTCTCCATGCTTCAAAGAAAACCAATAAATCACAGACAAATTCTTAACCATTTCAGAGGAAGGGGGTGAAATATACCATTGAATCCACTTCAACTTCATGAACCACAGAGGCCGCCTCCCCTGTCTTACTCGCCCTTTTTCTTACATTTATCACTGCTAGCTCAAACATAAAGGGAAGTCAGTGGGAATCACTGGCACTGAGTGAACAAAAGCTCTAGGCAAGGCTGGGGGTTTCGGACTACGAAACCAAGAGGAAGGCTGCAGTGTGGAAGTCACCGCAGAGGCAGCAACCTTTCTGCAAAAGGCCAGAGAGTTAATACTGTTAGTTAGCAGGTCATACATAGTTACTCAACTGTGATTAATGTCTCAAATGTGACAGCATCTATAGGCAGTACAGGAGGATGAATGGGTGTGGCTGTGTCCCAATAAGCCTTATTTATAGAAGCAGGAAGTGAGCTTGATTTAACCCTGGGGCCATGGTTTGCCAACCCCTCATCTACAACACCTACCCTCTTCAGTAACATTTTTCTCATTTTGAAAATGTAACATCAAGCTTTATACTTCTTCTAAGCTTAGCACCTATTAAAGCCAAATGATAGAAAAATTGACTCTTCAGATGTTAACAATTCCCAAGTTCCAGGGCTGGGGGGAGTAGGGGGGAGTTGAAAAACAGGGAAAATATTAACAGTCCAGGCCAGACCGAACTGACAGACCGGACTGGGCTCTGGAAGGCAAATGACTCAGAAACCCCAGTGCGTACGGAGACAGAAACATTCCCTTACATGCACTCGGAAGGCCATGCTGTGGCCCACCTCATAGGGGTCCTTCCAATCCCAGAAGACTTTGCAAGACCGGGGATCCAGGTAATTTCCCCGCACGTAGTCATATATAGTCCGGTCCCCTCGGCGCTCTCGGTCCTCATTCTGGAGGAAGCTGACTACACGTGCGGCAAGCTCAAAGAGGAACTTAATTGTGAAGAAGAATGCAACCACAGACACTGTGATGCCACCTATGTGAAGGAGAGAACACACACCACCTGCCAGTTACACATGACAGCTTCTCCTTATGGAACAGGCCAACCATCTGTCAGGGGAGAAGTCCAAAGACCCACTCTACCGGGTCACCACCTCTGTGGGTGAAGATGGGAACTTCCTTCCATACCAGGATCAGAAACGAAGGTCCTTGGGCCAAATTCCACCTTCTGCCTGTTTCTGCAAATGAAATTCTACTGAAACACAGCCCCACCCACTCATTTACTATTGTCTAGGGCTGGTTTTGCCCTAAAACCACAGAGTTCAGCAGTGGTGACACAGAGTGTATGGCCTGGGAAGCTGAAAATGTTTACTCTTTGGCCCTTCACAGCAGAAGTCTGCCAAGCCTTGTTCTATACCATGGACCGTATACAATGCCTGCCCTCAAGCTCCCTGCTTGTGCTGGGCCCTGACAAGAGGAGTAAAAAGAATGTGTGTTCTGCTCTCTCCAGTTGGAAGCCCTCCCCTTCCTTGTCCCCTTGGCAAAAGCCCCCCCCCCACAATCCCCACCACAGTTAGGGGTTCCTTCTTCTGGGCTCCCTCAAACTCCTGTACATTCATTCATCTACTCAACATTTCTCCCCCTTTGTGTTACGAACTTCATGGAGGCAGATTTTTGCCTTATTTGACTTTGACTCGACAGGAAACAGTGTCTGGCACCGGCTATAATTACTCAATAAATATTTCTCAAATGAATGAATTCCGCTGCTAACTCTGTGAAGGTACATTCTGGCATGATTGGAAATCATTTCTAAATCTCTTTTCAAGGACAAAGAGGGAGGCAGAAAAGGATATAAGCAACCCTAACCAAAAAAATGAGAGAGGGCTCTCTCTGTGACGTACCAATAACGTAAAACATCAGGTCCCTTCAGTGCCAACAGACAGCCGAGGATCACAGCTGCAGCTGCAAAAGAAAACTTGTTTAGTTTTCCCTGACTCTTCCCTGCAGCCATCTCAGGGAGAGACAAAGCAGAGCATGTGGCTTGAGCCAACCATCTCTGGCCTTCCTGTCGCTGCTCTCTCTCTAGCTTGACAGGTGCCCTACAACACTGCAGAGAAACAGACTGCATCATTGCCCCAAAAGATTTCCAATCTACCGACCACCCTAGGAATACCACAAACAGCAACTTCTAATTACGAAATGCAGTAACATGCCTTTCATCTTCCTGGATCCAGGGCCCCAAGACAGTTTCCCTCCCCCATGCAAAGTAGTGCTAATTAACACAAGCAAAGAGGATAATGGAGTCACTTTCCCCTTACATTTGCCTTCTGGAAGTAATTCATCTAAATAGAAATAGTTATATAAAATGTGGATTTTTTAAAGCAAGGATTATTATCATCATGTTGGCATTATGTAATTAAAATGAACTCTGGGTCATCTCAATAATAAGCAGTGGGCATGTAAGAGAAGCTGGCTTTTTTTTTTTTTTTTTTTTTTTGCTGTTACCAATCAGACAAACTAATGGGCCTTGTGAAAGATGAGCCCAGCAGAGGCCAAGGAGAGGAACCAGAGGAGGAGACTGGACTTCTCATCCCGAGTGATGTCTGCCAAGGTCAGAACAATTCAGACCGGGGCCAGAGTCTGAGGGGAGACTTTCACTATTAGTAGACTTATTTCCAGAGTAAGACTTCAATCTTATTACTCACTTGAACCACCCAAGGTACTGCCAAGGAAAAATGCAATGCACACTGACATTCCTATCTCATCACTGAGTTCTGACCTTAGCACAGGCTATACTGTGCTCTCCAATTCACAATGCACTAAAGTCATTCTTTCAAGTCAATAGATATTAAGGTTATTGATATGATCTCAAGCCAGCACCTTTAATCAGCACTAATATATAATTTAGAGACAAGACATATGAAAATTTCTATGCTCAGATTTGCGAGGAACCAAATCACTTTTTTTTAAACAGCTTGTGCTTTGATGTCTAACTGTGCTGAAAATATTTAAGAGAAAGAGTGGCTGAAAATGGCCATTAGATCCTTTGATTAACAATATATCCAGTGGAAGCCATAGGGAGTAGGTAATCTGAGGAGTGACCATGTCAAGTTTCTTAGAAATCCCTACTGAGACTGGTGCCTCAAGTCCTACCAGAAAAGAAATCCACACAGGGAACATTAGCACTATCAATACACATGGGTTACACTGCTCTCCAAAGGGTCTATAGAGACAATATACTAACTCAAAATTTGAGATCACAACTAGTGAGTCTCCTTCACAAACAAGTATCTCATCTCCTAGGCTGAAAAGCTGCTATCATCTCTCCAAAAGCATCTGTCTGTGCCTCACAGGATGTACTAGGCGACCTGGTAGAATCAGAACCAGCAGTTTAATTGTCCCAGACACTCCCTCATTTGGATGTCATTCAATCTGATCCTGGATGTGAACATTCAGTCCTCAGCAAAGTTACAGCACTCAGTAGAAAATGAAGTATATGTAGGTGATGCTACGGACTTGTGTCTTAAGTCTCTTACTCCTTGGAGGAATAAAAGCAACGCTAAATTTATGGCATACATCATGAGGGCTGGGGAAATTCCTATGCACTATCTCTCTGACAACTACAACAACATTTCTGTGAGAGGCAGCTGACAAGCAGTAAGTCAGAGCCCAGAGACCAACTGTATGACCTGTCTAAGCTTCAGAGTTCTCACTGCTGTAGAAAGAGTTGAGGTTTACTAATTCCTATGGTACCATCTCCTTTAGTGTGATAGGACTTCAATATCACTCTCCACAACTATCAAGACTCTTAACAAGTATAGCAAAAAGAATAAATACAGAGGATGAGGGCATAACTAGACTAAAGCTAGACTACCTGGGTTCAAATCCATTCTCTGCCACTCACAACTTATTTAATCTCTCTATAATTTGCCAGTTTCCTTATCTATCAAATGGGGCTAATATCTGTGTGTACTTCATTGGGGTACTGTGAGGATGAAGAGGGTTAATATGTGTAAAGGGTTAATACGTGTAAACAACCTAGAATGGGGCCAGTGACTTCTCAGTTTTAAAACTATTACTATAACTGTTAGCAATAGTAATAGCAGCGTCACTGCTTCTTTGCTTCAGAGCCAATAAAAAACTGAGGGAACCTCTCTATAGGGTCACACTTCATTCAACAAGAAATGCATCAGAACTACAAAAAGAAAGGCTTCCTCAAGCCTTCCTAACCATACTTAAAACCTCTGCCTACACTGGCATTCTTTATACTGTTCTAATTTCATGTTTGAAAATTTTTATAATCAAGAGTGAAAAAAAATTTGTACTAAAATAATTCATCCAACAAATATTGAGTACCTACTTCATATGCCAGATACTGGGGGGATGGTATTATACAACAGCCATAGTCTCAGTCCTCATGGCTGATAATAATAAACTTGACTTTGTTAAGACCTTGTTATCTTCCCCGACTCACTTACTGCTCAACCAAATCATCGCCAGTGATCTAGATCACCTACATCTTTTCCAATACGTCAATTCTACTTTTCTATTCCAATTTCCTCTGTTATTTAAAACTCAGCATACCAATTTTTTTTTTTAAATTCTCTTCTCCATGAAGCCGCCTTGTGACCAGGGAATTAGCTCTGTCAATTCATCACTCATTAATGTGATCTTTATGAGCTATCCCACTTCTCTACAATACCATTCCAAAAAACCCCCCAACAGTACTTTACCCAGCTCTCAATTTTGCCCATGGTCACATTCTAAACTTGCCTTCTGCATCTTCTCTCTTTCTGGATGCTGTCACAAAGCCTCCATGCTTTTGGGTACAGGGTTTCCCTTTAGGGTGACCGCTCAAATCACTTTTATTCCAGATTCACTTCTTCTGTGGCAGTTTCTGTCCTCTTACTGTACCTGTGGTGTGCCCTCTGCCCCATCTCTCCTCCCGTCCCACCTCACAGTAGTAAACCCGTAACTTGCAACCCCCGTTATTGAGTCATTACCACAAGCCAACAGTGTACTAAGTGTTTCACAAGTTAGCCTAAATAATTGTCTCCAATACAACTTGGTAAAATGAGCATTATTATTCTCCTTTTACAGACTTAAAAAAAAAAAAGCTAGGGTTGGAAAAGTCGACTTGCTGAACATCTCCCAGCAGGATAAGTGACTCAAGCCCATGTCTAACTCTGAAGCCCAATGTTCTTAACCTCATATAACTGTGAACCATGAATCATGAAAAAAGAGTGGAGTCCTACGGATAGTTAAGTATTCGGGGAGAGAAAAGATTTAAGAAAACAGGTAAAAGAAAGTATGAAAAACATTACCCAATCTTACTGAGGCTAAAATTAGAAAGAAAAATGTTTATGGCCTCCTTTTTAATCTTTTGAAATAAAAATAAAGCATTACAAAGGAAAATGGAATGCAGTACCGATTATCTAATGCAGAAATACCACTTGCTTACTAAAAGATCCCGGGCAAGCTGCTTAATACTACAGCACTTTGGCTCACATTATCTACAAAAGAAGGAAAGGGGAAATACTTGAAGCTATTTGTCTCAGAGGAATGTTAGAAAGCTGACTGACATGCATATTCTAAAACTCTTTGCCTTTTTTTAGTACAAAGATTTATAATTACAGTATCAAATAAATTTTAGCACTAACATTGAAGATCCAGTGTGAAAAAGTCAATTCCCAGAAATGGAGAACTGATTTCTTCATACTTGAATCTGCCCTGCTGGGAGCAAAGTCAATTCTAATCGCAACTGTGCACGTCGATGCTAGCTGGCCCTTGCTGAGAGAACTCAGAAACTGGTCACTGAGTCCATATTCTACATCCTAATAACAAGTGAACCTTAACTTGTCTATCACCTTACCTTTAAACGAGGGCCCATGTTCTAAGAACCAAGGGGAGCACGTCTATTCACCAAAGCAGGTACCTTTCGGCCACTTTCACCTTGTCTTCCAACTTCCACATGAAAAAACAGCTGCAAGGTCAACAGAAAGTGTTTGTCCATCAGATCTTCAGGAAAGGTGTGTCACACAAGCAGAGGGTCAATGTTTCTGGAATGAACTGCATGAATTTCAGGGGAGAGAAACATAATCCCCAAATATATCATCCCTGGACCTCTTTCTAATGCAGGGTGCAGTCAGCTGCAGAAGGGTGCATCGGGTCTGCTGTCTTAGGATCCTATCCTACAAAGAAAAAAAAAAAGAGTCAATGGGATAGGTTTTATTTCTCATAGAGAACTCCCAGCAAACAACAAAGAAGAGGTACAGAATAGGCAGTGGAAACACTGTGGCACTAAAAATAACCAAAGGCAGGTGAACTCTGACCAAGTTTTTCCCAATTAAAATCACGAGAAAAGCCAAGAGGTGATCTTCCCACCTTAGCTGGTCACTTCCCAGAAAGGAGCTCTGGCACTTCAGTTGATTCTAACCCTTCAGCAGAAGCAAACTAGAGCACAGACTTAAGAGTGAGTCTCCTCCCAACCACACAACCAGTTTCACTTTAATGGGACTGGGAACAAGGTGAAGAGAAATGAAAGGAGATGATACGTGGGGCTGGGTTGCAGGGGGCCTTATAAGCCATGAATAAGGAACCAAGGTATCACTCAGCTGGAAAGGGGAAACCACCCAAGAGCTTAAAAACTTAATCATCCAACTAAAAAGTAAATTAAAAAAAAACCTGATCAGTCAGCCTATATACAGTTTGTTCCCTTTGTGCCCATGTATGCATTTCCAAGACAGGGTTAAACAATACTGACTTTAATACTGACTTTATCTTTAAAATTTTAATAAAATTTGCTACTAAGAGTGAGGGGAAATTTTCTGTGAACATTCAAGATAAAGACACTGAGTAATAAAGTTGAGTAAAGTCAATCTTTAATGACCAAAGATATTCATGAACTAAATGTAGCA